CCATGCCAGTGAGCTTCCCATTCAGCTCAGGGATGACCTTGCCCACAGCCTTGGTAGCTCCAGTAGAAGCAAGGATAATGTTCTGGGCAGCCCCTCAGCCATCATGCCACAGCTTCCCAGAGGGACCATCCACAGTCTTCTGGGTGGCAGTGATGGCATGGACTGTGGTCACGAGTCCCTCCACAATGCCGAAGTTGTCATGGATGACCTTGGCCAGAGGGGCCAAGCAGTTGGTGGTGCAGGAGGCATTGCTGACAATCTTGAGGTAGTTGTCATACTTGTCATGGTTCACACCCATCACAAACATAGGGGCATCCGCAGAAGGGGCAGAAATGATGACCCTCTTGGCTCCACCCTTCAAGTGAGCCCCAGCCTTCTCCATGGTAGTGAAGACGCTGGTGGACTCCACAACATACTCAGCACCAGCATCACCCCATTTGATGTTGGCGGGATCTCGCTCCTGGAAGATGGAGATGGACTTTCCATTGATGACAGGCTTCCCGTTCTCAGCCTTGACTGTGCCTTTGAACTTGCCATGAGTAGAGTCATACTGGAACATGTAGACCATGTAGTTGAGGTCAATGAAGGGGTCATTGATGGCGACAATATCCACTTTGCCAGAGTTAAAAGCAGCCCTGGTGACCAGGTGCCCAGTACGGCCAAATCTGTTCACTCCGACCTTCACCATCGTGTCACTGGGTTGCGGCTGGTACTGCGCGGGAAGATGCGGCTGTCTGATGAACAGGAGGAGCAGAGAGCCAAGTTGTTCTGTTCTTGAATGAATCTTAAAGCCACTCCACACTGCTCTCTAAATCTTAGGGATGTCCTAGAACCATCAGAAGAGATCTCAGAGAGGAACATCATTCTTAGTTAACCAAAACTCATTGTGTTGCACTGTGTTACTGTTCTCATTGGCTGCCCTTTGTGGGAGGATGGTACGTGCCCACGCCTGCCATGTGGCTCACAGTGCTCCACCCTTGGGTGAGTGTACTTCACCACACCTGGATGGCGGGCTTGGCCACCTGGCCTGCTCCTATAAAGCATGAGTGGGAATATGATATGCCTCTTCCTGGTAGAAAATGAAGACCCATCCTATGGATCGGACATTGGTTTCTCCTTTTTCCTCGAGATCAACATGACCTAGGTGGGCTTGATCCCAGAATGAAGACGCACAGAGCAGTTGCAACCAACTCTCAATCGACCTGTAAAATAAGCAAGAATAAAACCTTTGTTCTTAGAAGCCCATGACATTTTTTCTTTGGTAAAAGTACATCATCGAAGAAAGCTGTCTAGTACACAAAGGCATCTGTGTCCCCACTGAAGCTATTTCCGTCTAGTCTGTCCTTCTGAGCTGAGCAGGCATGGATCAAAAGAATGGAGTATATTTTAATGCACAAATAAACTTTAAGTATATATAATTCTCACATTTCTTATTTGGCCTACAAAGTTAGTTCGTTTTAGAGAAGAAGTAAATCCTACCATAGATTGCTTAGAGTTCTAAACAAGAACATTTGTAAATGTAGAATGAGCAGGCATGTATATCAAGTTAATGTTGTCAGAAGAGCTGATTACCCAGGAAACCCAGAGAACAGTAAACTCAACAAAACAATCACTGTAAACATGATTTGTATTTATGAAGAATGCGTAGCTAAAAGTGAAATGGCAACACTGCAACTATTTCTATATAATGGTTGATAAATAATAAGCATAGTTTTAATCATTAGACCAAATGCTTAAACCCCTCTGCTGTGCTGAGCCTGTTGAATTTCAGAGCATCAGTTGCTCACAAATTACTAGCATAATTTAGTACAGATGCTATGATCTGCATCTTTGGATTCCACTGACAACTCAGGATTTTGTCCCTGCCAGTTTATGAAGAGACAAGATGAACTTTTAAGGCTGAATATTCTTTTGCAGACTGCTTTTATGTGGGCTAAACATATTTCTTAATAATAATAGCTCACATTTACTGCACAGTTTACACGTGCCTGGTATTAGGCTAAATCCTTCAGATGGCTTCTTCGTCACCCTCAACCTTGGAACAACTCTTTAAAGAAGGTACTATTACTATCCCAGGCTGAAAAATGAGAAAGCTGAGGCTCAGAGATGTGAAACAATCTACCCAAGGCAACATGGCTATTAAATGGCAGAGTCAGAATTTGAATCCAGGATGGTCTGGCCCCAGAGCTCACACTCTAGCCTGGAGGACACCTCCACTGATGTTCTGTGCTCTCTTTGTGGCTGTCAGACCATCAGAACCTTTAAGAGCCAAATGAGATCATGTCTGTGAGAGCCCTTTGAAAAATGTCTAGTGCTGTGCAGATGTAAGGTTTCCAGGTTAACATTTTTTGTAACCCCAGATTATTCAGGGGACATAACAAACAAGCACATCGGAGGGTTCAAGTACGGGAGCTCTGTGGGGGTGCCTTGTGGGGTCTCTCCTTGGTACGATGAAATGAGGGGAAGGCCTGTCCAGAAGAAGCATAGAAGCTGGTGACTAAATCCTGACTGACTTTACAATGGAGACGTTGTCTTCTGCCCTCACATCTACTTCCAGAGTGAATTTGTTAACACAACATCTCCTATTTTCTAGGGTAAGCACGGTATGTGGCCTGAAAACCAACCTCTTGAGGCCAGTTCCTTGGACTCCTTACACCTGATTTATTGGATCAAATGTTTCAAGCTGATTTTAAAAATGGAAACGAATCAGGAGGCAGAGGGTTCCTCTGGGATCCGAAACTGGTTTTTGCCCTCTTTTCACAGAAGAGCAAAGTTAGGAGATTTGTGTTTAAATCCCTTTGGTGGACAGAGCTAAGATTTGTGAGTAGGAGGTGAAGGAATAAATGCATTTTCTGGGCTACGGCAGGCGGGGCTCACTGTGCCCTGTTCAGAGGACCTTTCAGCTGGGCACCTTGAAGTGCAGGTGTAAGTTGACATGTGTCATGTACTAGTGGTCTTCCTAAGTGGGCCCTAAACCCTCGGGCTGGCCTGGAACATGGCTCTGATCTTTCATGGAGTTGGGCGTCTGTGACTTTCACAGGCTCTGGGCTGTACTAGGATGTTTAATTGTGAGAGTTGAGTCAGAAAGGGAAAGGAGAGAGCAGGGAGAGGAGTGAAAGGCAGAGAAGGAACACGAAGCTTCGCAGGGTTTAGAAGAATGATGAATGTGTTGCCCCAACCATCAGGGAAGAAAAAAATAAAAACCCAAAACCCAGAAACAAAGAAACACAGTGTTGAATCTTTTACCTAAGATTTTTGTCATTTAATTTTCACCTTCAAGGAATAGAATCATATAAATACAAGTCAACTGCAGCTCTTATGAAAAATCACTAGGCCTCAGTCAGAAGAGAATCCGAAATTTCTCCATAACCATTTAATCATTTGAGACATAGAGAAATCCACGGGCAGTTCCTTATACCTTTTAAGAGAAGCTGTCACTAAATATATGCTGCCTCCTTATTTTGAAGAATAAACCTTAAAAAATTTAGGTCCTAGTCTATCCTTTAAAGTTTAGGGAGTCCATATTGGTACTCAATTTAGAAGTTAAATTTTTTTTTTTTAATTCTAAGGTTTTAGAATAGATTCTAATTCTGATTTAATACCTGCTTCGATACATTTCCAATTCTTTCACTTTTATTATTTGAAGACTTAACCTTGTTGAGATACTATGTATTCTGTGCCTCCTTTGGGGCAGGAGCATTTCAGTTCATTGTTTCTTCCTCCTGTTTTCCCAGGAAAGCCAGCGTGTTTTCAACACGGGCTTGTTTGAAACGCACGTCATCCACGGGGTTGTAACGAGGCAATGAACCAGCTCGCACAAGTTTGCCAGACCTGGGAGGAGACACAAACATCCTATTAAGTTCACGGAAAAGGCAGAACGAGAGCTGTGGACTTGACTTCATCGGTTTTACTTTTGCTTGGCCCCTGAGGCTGTTTCAGACGATAAGAGTTGGCTTCTAAGGTAAAAATGACAGTCACTGCCTCTATAAAAACACGCCTATACTTACTTGTATCACCCATGCTTTTGAAAACTGGCAGCGGGGGAGAAACTTCAATCATTCTCTAGAATCATGCCCTAGATGGAGGGAGGCTTATCCCAGCGGTGGGAGGGAAAGGCTTCACCAGCCCAACAGAAGGGCCGGTCTGCGCTCCGAGTGACTGTTAGGGGCTAAGAGAGAGCGAACATCAGGGACATATTTTTTCATCCATACGTATAACATACCTGAATCTAGGGGAACATGGTGATGAGACTGCTCTGTTCTGCTCCCTGGCGGTTTGAGATAACAAAATAAAATGAATCTCCTGCGGTGTTCTGGCCGAGTCTAGAGAACCACATCTAGGAACCTGGTAGGGATTCCTGTATCGGATGGGGTTTGGACTAGATAACGCTTCTTGCCTTGAGATTTGATGAATTCCATCCAGGGCCTGCCTTCCGTCCCAGACGTCTACAGAACTGTGTTCGTATATAGGAAGCACATTTCCTGATGTCCCTCATCCCCACCCGTGTGCTTCTGCAAACCATAATAAGCTCTAAATAAAATGTGGTTAATGAATCGGAGCTAATGTAAAAACCAATGGCCTGAAATCCAGGGCTTTCTTGCTTTTACTAGTAGAACATTTGTTGCCTTTCTGAAAACTGCATCCACCTTGGTGGTTTAAACCCAAACAAGTGACTCTGAAGAAGTGTTTCTTAAGTAGGAGAGGAGAACAAGCTAGGATAGAGGTAGCACATCTAACCCAACGCCCAAATTAGAAGCATTTGGG